CAGGCTCCCCCCTCCGCGCCAGCCGCTGGCGTCCGCGCTGTGTGCGCACACCCGCCATGTGCGTACGTAGCGACGGTCTCCAGGCTCAGCCTCCCCAGCGTTTGGGCTGGGCTGCGAGGGAAGGAGGCGGCGCCCAGTGGTTGCCCGGATCCCTTTAAAAGCTCGGGCTGCAGCGGCGCTGGCACAGTGTCTGGAAGCAAGTGTAGCACCAGCAGCGCCTCCCTTGTGCCGGCGTGTGCGGGGGCGCGCTGCTGGCCCCAGCCCGGACCTGTCCCTGCCTCCCTTTCCATGCGCCTGCCGACCATGTCCAACAACTTCCTGCTCGCGCCCATCCTAGAGTGCTCCTCGCCCTGCTTCCAGAGCCGGGACATCAAGCTGGCGGTGCTGGGCGCCGGCAGCGTGGGCAAAAGCGGTGAGTTCACCGGGGCGCGCCACTGCCCGCGGGCTCCTGCGGGTGGCGGGGCAGTGGGAGCCGCGATCGGCTGGGCTAGGGAGCTAGACACCGCTGGGCTCCGGCGCACGCGGAGCATCCCGGGGCCCTGCCACAGATCGGTGCTGGCTGGGCTCCTTGCAGACTTGGCGCGTGGTCAGGAGAAGTGCCCGAGTCCTGCCTCAGCTGGAGAATTCCTCTGCAGCCGCCGAGTTCTGCAGCCGCCAGGCAGGCCGAGCCTATTGTCCAGGATTTGGTCCTTGGACTGGCTGTGGACTAGCGGTACATCCCTCCCAGCCAACACAATGGGATTGTGCGTTGACACCCATTGATAAACCTATAGTGGTGCGTGTCTGGCAATGCGGGAGAGCTGGGGCGGGACTGTAGTGCCTTTCGCCAGGCTGCCATTAATTACAGAATCTGATTCTTTTCAGCTATGATTGTTCGATTCCTAACAAAGAGATTTATTGGAGACTATGAACCCAATACAGGTAAGGATTTTTTCAATGCCTGTTTGCAGAATCGACATGCTCGTTTCTAGTGTGTCTTTAGAATTTCTCCCCCTTCCCAAAGCAACAAGTCTCTATCTTTATTTCCCAGGAAACTTGTATTCAAGACTTGTTCATGTAGAGGGAGACCAAGTTTCCATACAGATTCAAGACACGCCAGGATTTATTCAGGTAAACAAATACTTCTGAGCTGGGGAGAGGTGGGCACTAGAGCCAAACTCCACTGAAACCGTATTTCTGTTGACTTTCTTTCCTAATTGTTGGTACCATTCATGTTGGTACCATGCATGCATCGCTGCCTACACTTCTGACTAATACTTGTAATTCCTTAAAGATACATTACCATAAATAGAACGGATTTAAGCCTGTATAAATCAGTAATTGCTGTTTGGAATATTTAACTTGATCTAAAGTTATATCAAACTTGTATTGGAAAGTTTACAGACAATTTAAAAATACATTTAATAAAAATTGAAGACCTACTAGAGTGTGTGTTTGTTCTGCTAATAGAACATGACTAAAACCAGACTTATTAAATCGGCAGGAAAAAAATCTGCTAGGGTAGCTAGCTTGAAAATTGTGTGATATAGTGATACTACCTGATGCACTCAGCTAAATGTGATTTTTATTTAAAATGATTAAAGACAAAACAGTTTTCACAATTATATTATTTAAGTTGTGCATTCAAGCATAACTGCAGACTAAAAAGTTGAACCATCCTTTAAATAGCCAGGCCTACCTCCTAATGGGTAGGAATTCAGTTCATTAGCCTGTACAGTATGGGCTTATGTCTTGTTTCCTAATCTCACTAAAAATAAAAAAGTAAGCTTCAGCATTCCACTACCTAACTTCCAATCTTTCCGTTTACAGGTGCAAGAAGGCTTTGTACAGGTATTGGACTCTCTTTCTAGATGCGCGAAGTGGGCAGAGGGCTTTCTCTTGGTTTATTCTATCACCGACTACAGTAGCTACCAGTTTATTCGCCCTCTCTATCAGCACATACGCAAAGTTCATCCAGATTCTAAGATACCCATTGTTATTGTGGGAAACAAAGGGGATCTCCTCCATGCGAGGCAGGTACAGACTGATGAGGGGATACAGCTAGCTAACGAACTGGGCAGTGTGTTTTTAGAAATCTCTACCAGTGAAAATTACCATGGGGTGTATGATGTTTTTCAGTATCTTTGCAAGGAGGTTAGCAAACTACACAACCACAGCAGCTCTGGCGACAGAAGGAGATCATCCATCATACCTCGACCCAAATCTCCTAACATGCAAGATCTGAAGAGACGTTTCAAACAGGCATTATCTTCCAAAGTCAAATAAACCCCAACACGGACTCATGTGCAACTAAATGGACTTATTTTTATAAACTGAGTTTTAAATAATATTTATTTTTGTACTCATGCCACTGTGCAGATGGGTGGAAATATGCAATTTTATTTTTTTTGCAATTTTCTGTTTTGTAAGAATTACTGTGCTGTAAGAAACTGGATTTCACTAGTGGTTGAAGGGGGGATAAAGCTAGAAGTTATGGGTTCTAGTCCTGTTTTAAACAGTGACTTGCTGTTTAACCTAGGCCATGTTGCTGCATCTGTGCCTCCATTTTTCCTATCTAAAATGGGGATGAGACTGTAACATCTTTTTTTTGTCAAGTGCTGTGAGATCCTTGGCTGATGAATTTTACATATGTAGAAAGTGTTATTAAAGGGGAAATGGTAACTTGTTTGAATAGTCCTGTTTGTTACAAACACTTCGCAGGCTTTCCTCCTTTCATGGCTGACCAACTGGGACCTGAATGTGTGCAAGGATTTGGGTTATTTTGCCAACATCTCTAATCAAAATTTAACATCCCTTTTAATCAGCTAATCAAGTAGTTGATGGAATTTTCATCAGCTAGTTCAGCATGCGCAACTCGTGGGGGATTGCAGTGCTGTGATCCAGCTGGCCAGTATTTTCTGCCTTTCCCAGCTTGGCACCTGACGAACATGCTGTGGGGGTGGGGAGGTGGCAGGGGAGCGACTGCATTGCAGTGGCCTGGTGACACCATCTGGCAATTTGGTGGTTGCAAATGAAAAAAGGTTGCATACCACTGAACTAGTTGATTGGGGGGGTGGGTACAGTAGGGAATCCAGCGTGTGTGGGGACTGCTTCAGTCTGCTCGTGCTGGGTTCCCTGCTGTGCCTGCCTTCCCTCTCCCTCCTCCACACCACAAAGATGGTGCTGGGGGGGGAAAACCAGGTGTTAAGATGGCTCCCCCCAGGATCGGCGCCCACCCCTCTACCCCTTGCTGCCTCTGATATAGTAGTCGACTCAACAACCCAATAAGCCTAGGCTTATTGGATAGTCAGCTACTCTTTTACATCCCTAATCTCTAATGTGACAAGTCCTTTTGGGCTAACTTGAAGTTTGCACTATACTGTGCTGTTCCATATGCACTACTAGCACATTTTAATGACTTGAGCAATGCCAAATAAGAGGGGCCTGGGAGTTTGGGGGTGGGAGGTGTGTGGGACTGGCTGGGGCAAGGGAGGCTGGTGCTGGCCATTCTGCCAGCAGCTCATCACAATGGGAACCTTACCTGTATTCAGTGGCTGGCAACAGACAGAGCCCTGCCCCCAGCCACTCCCTCTCTTACCAGTGTGCCTATCCCTTCCTCCCTCCATGGTCATTCTGTAGTATAACTATGCTGCTAGCAGTTCCTTCCCTCTGGTGTTTGGTTTTCATTTAAAAAAAAATCAGTCTAGGTAACTCCCATTGAGCTGACATAGTCAAACCCTTACCTTGCTTTAAGTTTGGTAAGATGTAGCTGTATTCAGAATTCGGTGGTCCCAGCGCTTGGGGGTGTGTCCACACAGCATCATTATTCTGAAATAACATAGTGCGTGTCTATACTAACAGCCTTTATTTTTAAATGTCAAGCTGAAGAACTTTCTCTGACTCATGGTAACCCTCATTTCAAGAGGAGTAAGGGAAGCCTAAGAAAGGGTGTTCTTCCAGCTGTGTAGACCGCACCAAAAGCCAAATTAAGCTACACAATTGACATAGCTTAACTTGCATAGCTTAATTCAACTTTAGACATATCCTTACTTTTTAGGATAGTTTCTGAACAAACAGACTCAGACAGCTGCACAAACACTCTCAAATATACAATAGACAAAGCACTACTGCATACCTTGCACTAAGAAATCACTGGTGTATATCCTTTGCCCTGAAGTAATCATTTTGAGGATAGCCAGTGGCTTCCATGTACTTTTCAGCAGGGATGAATTTTTTCTTTGCAAGTCACCATGGGCCAAAGTGCTGCTTTGGTCACAAGTAGGAGGCAGTGTTGTCAGTGTTCTGTGTAGTAGAGCTACTGCTAACAGAACTGCTTGATTCACATATATACTATTTTTAGAGAAGTGGTTGTATTTAAAGGAATGACTTATTTTTCCTACAGTGCTATGTTTTTGGGTTTTTTTTTTTTCAGCTATGCAAAGGCAAGACTGGATTTTGACCATTATCCACTGTAAATTGTTGAGCAGAATGGTTGTAATAACTATTTTTAAGAGGCCCTAAAACATGATATTTGGTCTTAGTTAATGAACATGCCTCTAAAGCGGGTGGGCAATAATTTTGTGCCAGAGGCTACTTCAGAAATGTTTGAAGTGGCCCTGGACTGCACAGGAAGGGGCGGGGCATCCAGCAGAAGGGATGTGGCCAAGAGATTTCCAGCTTCCCCACCCCAGACAATGATTGGTCTGGTGGGTGAGGGAGTGCTTTTGCCCCCACCCCACATTCCCCCAAGGTGCCCATGCCCCTGGCATGGGAGGAGACTTCCCTTGCTCTCCTGCCCCTAGGCCAATTAGGGCCTGGGGACAGGGAGCACAGGAAGCCTCCTCTGCTCTGCAGAACCCCCCCTCCCCCAAGAACCACGTTCTCGTGGCAGGAGGCTTCGCATGCTCCCCTGCCCCCAGGCCCTAATTGGCCTGGGGGAAGGGGAGCAGCAGGGCCTCCACGGGCCTTAGCCACTTGCGTGGTGGGCCGGATCCAGCCCCCAGAGGCCCTTTTGCCTACCCCTGCTCTAAAGCAAGCCACTGTTTTGGCAAGCTCCAGCTTTCCTCTCTACTCATCTATACAGAATGCTCACTCAGGTATAACTCCTGTTCAGCTTCAATAGGAGTGATAGCTAGCAAAGTTTGTAGGGTTGGGATCAAAGATTGTTCTGCATTCAGTGCTCTTTCCATTTTCTTCTTGCCTTTTTCTCACATATTTTACTCAATCTATGCTGTGGTGGTGCTACAATGAAAGCATAATTCTCTGTATATAGCAGCCATTGCTATAGCATCAGACTTATCGCCGCTTCAACAATATATCCTCCCACTACCTTTAATTTATAGATGAAAAACCTTCTGATGTCACTGGGAATTGCACATGTAGATCCAGAGAAGTGTGTAGACTGCAGCATCAAGTAAGAGGAGGTGCTCTGCAAAGCAATGCTATTTTTAAAATCCCACAGGGCCCAAATTCTTCAGCCTTTACTCAGGGTTGAATTCATCCAACATGAAGTCCTCACAACCCCTCTGGCAACTGTACCATTATTCCTCTTCTATGGTCTACTAACGGCACCACCTCTATTGCTTCTAGTTCTGTAGCCATCAGCTCTCTTAATCAGATCCCTGTATCTAGGTCCCCCTCCTTCCTGCGGTGTTGCCAGGCTGCACAGTTTCCTGCCTACACTATGAATTTCCCAGAAAGTCAGACTGCCTGGCAAACCTGCTTTGCCTTTCCCCCCTCAGAGGCTGTGAGCATTGTAACTTAGAAAAGTACTGCACAGCTTTTACTAAGCAAGTACATTTATTCTTAGGGTGCAAGCATTACAGAGAAACAATAGCCTATTCAAAGAACCTTCATGCATGCTAATGGTTTACCTGAAATCACACCAGCTCCTGCAAGGGCTTTGGTAGGAGTCAATCCTTCAAAACACAGCAAGGCCATTTTGTGTGGTTACAAGTTCATAACTGGCTTGACTGGGAACAAGCCCATCTGTAAGCCATTCCTTTGCATAGTTTGAGCTTCTGATCTTGTCCTTGTGTAACCAGCAACCAATAGAGAAGGGTTCCCTCCTCGAGGTGTAGCTTCAAAAAGCAGAGTTCTTGAATAACAGAGGAACTATGTCTGCGTACATCTTCCACAGGATTGTGTCTGGGAAACCCACTTGGCTACATTCATTGTTGTCTGGCACTTGTTTCAAATAGCCCACTGGAGTTCAGAACACTTCCCATGGTTTACATTTGTCATGTCTCTACTCCCACCTTCTGCCTCCCAGAGCCATTGTATACAATAGTACCTACACATCTGCATACAGGAAACTGTCATACCTATCAGGGACAGTCAGAGAGCATTAAAAAAAAATCAAGGCAGGCTTTGGTCTCAAAGTTTGCTAAATGTCTATGTTTGCTCCCAGGAAGTGAATGAAATAGCTTCTATTGGGTAGAAAAAGAAGGGGGAGCAGGCCTTATGTCAGTCTCCTGAACTAGGACTGCAAATTGGGGGCAAATATCTTTGGTTAATTAGCAGTTATGGAAGCCCCTTATAAAAAACCTGCCACTTGATGACATGCATATGAAAGACTTTGGGCAGTTTTACACTTCAAGGAAAGGTCAATCTAAGCTTCGCAATTTGAGTGATGTTAGTAACATATGTCAAATCTTAGTTCTACTTACTGCAGGGTCCGCTCCTCGCTAGGTCAACAAACCCCTGCCCCCAATCCATCAACTGCCCTTACTCTTCTCATTCTAGTCAAGTACCAGAGTTGACAAGTGAGTGACCCGCGATTGATTTATCACATCTATTCTAGATGCAATAAATCAACCTGTGCTATCACTACCCTATTGATCCAGCCTGCAATGAAGACATGCCCTTCCCCAAAATGGAAGTCCCTTATTAAGATATATTATAAGGGCACATCTACCAGTAGGGCAAAGTTGAATTAAGCTACACAACTTCTGCTATATCAATTGTGTAGCTGAAGTCACACTAGCTTAATTCGGTTCTTCCTTTGACATTCCTTATTCCTCACTATCTGGACCTACCCGGCATTGCCCGGGAAACCGGAGGAACAAAATTTAGAAAACAGAAGCTGGTCCTGACAGCATCCAGCCACGCCGCAGCTGCTAGTGCCTGACATCTGGCCGTTATGGCAGACCCCCATGCTTTTCTACTGCTGCATAAAGCAAAATCTCTGACTCCAAAAAGAGGCATTGCAATGTTGAGAATCAGAGCTATTTGACTTGGCAAACTTAGGTACAAAAGTCACAATAGAAACTATGTCTCTGTTTTCTTCCCACATCATGAGTCTTGCAGCCAATAAAAGCACAGTGAAAGGGAGAGCCCCCAAATCACCATGGCTTGTTTCCCCACCATTGCTGGAAGCATATGGTGGCCCCTCTTCAATAGTGCAATGTTTTGCTTCCTATCAGATGGTATTTTTGCTAATTATCCTTGTAGAAACTAATGTTTTTTGGTAGGGAAGTAGGGGATAGGCATGCTGGGTCTGCAAATTCTCATCCAAGAGCTGAGTATAGGGATGCGTCAATCAATGGGGCTGGCCCTACTGAATCTGAGATTTCAAGGTGACACTTCAAACTCTTCTCCCATCTTTTTTGATGAAACTATGAGTCAACTACCTGAGCCTGCTGGCACCTCTATAGTCCCTCCTCCAGCACCAC